ATTGTGTCCAGAGATTGGAGGAATCATGGCATCTATCTTGTCCATAACCTACGATAAAGTAATACAGCGGGATCAATCAATTTCTGTTCGACTAGAAATTGAAAGGATGGCCGAGAAAAGTAATGAATCTTTTAGGAAATGGAAGTGGAATGCGTCAAACACTAGGAAATGATTTGGATAGAACAAAAAGACCAACACTGGATTGCGGTCAAGATCAAGCAAACCAAATAAGATTAATCATCCATGCCCTAAGTGCTACAAAGCCTACAAGGGAGAATGTTGGTTTTGGAAAGAATGTATGCTATTGATATGGTAAGGAAGAGCATTTTACACCAGACTACAAGGCATACCCACCTAATAATGACTATAAACAGAGCAAGAAATGGAAAACCAGAGTCTTTGCTTTGACCTGAAAAAGACAAAAGAGGATCTGAGCGTAATGACAATTATTCTATCAATATCTGAACTACATGCATATGGTTTGATGGACTTAGGAGCTATTTCTTCATTATCTCTGCTACATTTATTGTTCAATCATGTATTATATGTGAGAAATCATATTATGTTCTAAAAGTTACGATCCCATTAGATAGAACATTGAACACCAATCAGATAGCTAGGACAGTACAGATTGAAATTGATGGAAAGGAATTAAAAGTTAATCTGTACCTCCTAAACATGAAAGACTTTGATGTTATTCTGAAAAAAGATTGGTTGGCGAGCAACCATGCAACGATCCGATATTTTGAGGATGAAGTAATTTTTCAGAAACCTTATGAAGAAGAGTTTTTGGTCTTCGTGGCATGAGTTAAGTTTTTACCTCGCCTAGTGTTGGCCATAAAGGCAAAGAAGGTGTTGAAGAAGAGATCTTGCCAGGGAATTTTCATGAATATATCTTAAACTCATCAATCGAAGCTCCATGCCAGTACAATACTGATTATACAAGATTTTATTGATATATTCTCTAATGACCTACTTGGCGCTCTATCAAATTTTATTGATATATTCTCTAATGACATACTTGGCGCTCTATCAAATAGGCAAGTGGAGTTCACGATTGAACTTGTGCCTGGAACGACACTAGTGTCTAAAGCTACATAGAGGATGGAGCCGAAGGAACTACAACAGGTAAAAATATAGCTGCATGAATTATTGGATAAAGGTTCCATCTGACCAAGTGTATCTCATTGGGGGTACATCAATTTTGTTTGTAAAGAAAACTGATGATTCAATGAAGATAAGCATTGACTATCGTAAGCTAAATTGGTTGACTAAAAAATAGATATTCCCTTCCTCAGATTGAAGATCTCTTTGATCATTTGAAGGATGAAACAATATTTTTCAAAATTGACTTGAGGTAAAGTTATCACTAGCTAAAAGTAAAGGCAAATGACATTCCAAAGACTATTTTTAAAACTCATTATGGTCATTATGAATTCACTATAATGCATTTTAGATTGATGAATGCTCCTTCAATGTTCATGGATTTGATGAATAGGGCATTTCATCATTATTTGGATAAATTTGTCATCGATGACAACATTTTGGTGTACTTAAGGAACATGGAGCAATATGAAGATCAACTCAAGATAATATTGGAAAATACTAAGGAAAGAGAAATTGTATGTCAAATTTAAGGAGTGTGAATTTTGATAGGATCGTATAGGTTTTCTTGGTCATGTTGTTATAGCACAACGGATTGAAGTAAACCTTACTAAAGTTGAGGCGGTAAAAAAATGGCCTAAACTGTTGAATGTAGATGAAGTCCATAGTTTCTTGTGGACTAGCTAGTTCTTATCGAAGATTTATCGAGTGATTATCCAAAATAGCTTGGCTGGGTTGAGAGAGGCACCCGTACGAGTGAATATTGGGCAGCCGTGTGAAAAAGAGAGAAGAGAGTGTCGATTGGCTTCTTGTTTTCCCTTTGGCTTTGTGCCATCATCTTCCCCCTTTCTCTTAACCTTTGTGGCTGGTGATTGTGCCTATATTATTTCACCACCAGTTGTCCTTTGTGGTCATCTTGGAATCAACCGGTTTGGGAAGAAAGGATTGGGAGGTTTTGGTGTTTATTGTGGTATCGAGTTTGGTGTTGACTGAGCCTGATTTTGGTATGATTGGAGCCCCAATAATCAATATTTGGTATCAGAGCTTATGTTGTTGAGAAATCTGTGATTTTTTGACCAAAAAGTGGCTGGAAGTGATCCAAAATCGATTTGGAAAATCTGCAAAAAATTGGACAGAATTCTGGGAATTTTTCCTCTCTCTGCCGGAACTGTTTTGGCGTTTTTCGGCCAAACTGCTTACCCTTTGGAGAAACGGCGACCACGAGCGTGAAGTGTAGGCGGAGGAGGTCCCTGTGGTCAGGTGCGTGTCACCGACGCCGGCGCATGAAGCCCACGCGCGGAGAAGGTGGAAGTGCGTGTGGCTCGTCGACTGGAATCCGGCGATGACTTCAAAAGACAGAATGTTACTGGTGGTGATACGGACCCTGTGGTTTATCAGATTTCAGTTTTGGGCATTACGGTGAAAGTTGGTCGATTTTTCCCTTAGACGTTAGGGTGTCGTTTTGTGTTGCCATGATTGCTAAAGACTTTAGGATGAATAGTGACGGCCTAAAGTGATGAATTCGCATATCTCAATATTTACGAACCTTCAGAAGTGGTTCGCTCAGTATCGTGTTCTTTCCTTTTTTATCTTATTATTGTAGTTATGGTTATTGTGTAGGATAACGATTTACTTTTCACATTAAAAGTCGTTGTGTGGGGTGATATTAGGATTGGGGTTACCGTGAAGGGGTAACCATTGCCTGTTGATGGACCTAAGAATTACTTGTTAATTATTTACCTTAAATTCTTCGTGAATTTGTTGTTAATTATTTTTCATTATTAGAATTGCACGTGACCTTATAAAAGTTTATTTGACCATTATGTATGAATTGTGTATGTACTTTGCTTGTGGTCGTCGTTGGTTGTATTTTGTGTTTTGTGCATTTTTTGATAAAATGAAAAAACGTTTTTGAGTTTGCCCTTTTTTAATGAAAAATTGTGATTTTTAATTTGGCAAAAAAAAAAAGGTTTTTCATAAAACTTTTGATGGCAAATTTGGTTTTAAGGCAAGTGTGAAAAGTAAGATGTGTTTTAACTGCAGCAAACTTGGATATGGTGAAATAGGTTGTCCTACGAATGATAATCAAAGGAAAGATAAGACGAGATGAGAGACGTGGCGAATGTTGGCATTAGGGTCGAGTGATGACCCTAGTGAGGCTTATTGAATGTAAACCTACTTACTACATTTTCATATGGGTGTAATCCTTTTTGCATGTGTGTGATTGCTCAATTCTGTTTCATAGTTATATGTGCATTCCAATGTTTTGATACGTGTATTGGCATGAATTGGAGTGATCTTATTCCTTTGTGTAATTGTTTGCATGAATAGTGGTTTGGGGTGCATTAGCAGTGTGGTGTATGTCTTTTGGTGAGATGGAGTATAGATGCCTAGGGGTACATTGGTGGTTTGTACCGGGAATGTGGAGTGTGACATTTGGATCACGACTGAAGAGATGATCAAATGTTGGAATCATTTATCTGTAAAGAGACCTTGATCAGGTGGAATGTGAGAGAGACACTTCTATCACTTCTGTTAGGTGGAGACCTATTATCTACGTAGGTTGGGAGAAGTGATGTATTGATAGAGGATTATCCCGAGAACTTAGGATCTATAGAGGCTTACCGTTAGACATGGGTTGAGTGATTAGTCTAGTGAGCATGATGGGGGATGATGTGAGATATGTGTTCTCGAGGTGCGAGCAACACGAAATGGGATATGATAAGGGTGGTGAGATCTTTT